AGTTACTGCTAGCAAGCAGAATGTCATCAACATACAGTACAAGGAAAATAAATTTTCTCCCACTTGTTTTAAGATAAATGCATTGATCAATAGTATTTTCGACAAAACCAAGAGATGTCACAACCTCATCAAATTTCAAATACCACTGTCGAGATACTTGCTTAAGTCCATATAATGATTTGTTTAACTTATATACCAAGTTCTCTTTTCATTTCACAACAAAACCTTCAGGCTCTTTCATATAAACCATTTCAGAAATATCTCCATTCAAAAATGCTGTCTTAACATCCATTTGATGAAGCTCCAAATTATAGTGTACCACAAGAGTCATGATAATTCGAAAAGAATCTTTCAACGAAATAGGGAAGAATGTTTCAACATAATCAATGCCCTCTCGCTGAGTGAATCCTTTTGCAACCAATCTTGCTTTCTTTCGTTCAACATTTCCTTTTGAATCTAATTTACTTTTGAAAATCCACTTGTTATCTACAGCCTTAGCATCTGAAGGAAGTTCAACAAGATCCCAAACTTTATTCCTTTCCATGGAATTCATTTCATCTTCCATGGCAGCTATCCAATTATCTGCATCACGACTTGTCAATGCTTGGTTATAAGTTACAGGATCAACAATATGCCCAATATTAAAATCGCTCTCCAATAAATATGTAACATAATCACTGGGCAATGCAGATCTTCTTTCCCTTTGTGATCTCCTAACTTGTGGCTCAGGAACCGATTCAATCGTTGTTTGAGGAATTGGAGATTCCTCCTGGTTCCTCGTTTCTTCATTAACAACTTTAATTTGTTGGGAACCAACTATTTCCTGTATGACAGGACCTGGAACAACAACGTGATTAGGTTCAACAAGAATTTCTCTCAACGTGGAACTCCCACTATCTCCAAAATCGTTCTCCAGAAACTTAGCAGTAATGGACTCCACAATTCTAGTGCCACGATCTGGACAGTAAAACTTATATCCCTTTGATCTATCCGGATATCCAATAAAGTAGCCAGGAGTTGATTTGGGGTCCAATTTCTTTTCAAATGGATTATAAATCCTAACCTCAGCTGGACATCCCCAAACTTTAAAGTGAGCCATACTTGGCTTACGTCCTGTCCATAATTCAAAAGGTGTCTTTGTAACAACTTTACTTGGAACTTTGTTCAAAATATACATAGCTGTTTTCAAGGTTTCACCCCACAAATATTCAGGCAAATTTGTTCTATTCATCATACTTCTAACCATATCTTTTAGAGTTCGATTACGTCTTTCAGAAAGACCATTCTGCTCAGGTGTCCCTGGCATGGTGTATTGGGGTACTATTCCACACTCTTGTAAAAATTTTGCAAAATCACCCATATTTTGACCAGACTCGTCATATTTCCCATAGTACTCACCACCTCGGTCAGATCTTACAACTTTGATATTTTTCCCACATTGTTTCTCTACTTCCAGTTTGAAAACTTTGAATTTCTCAAGTGCATGTGATTTGTCGTTAATCAAATAAACATATCCATATCGTGAGAAATCATTAATGAAAGTTATGAAATATTTATTCCCACATATAGTGGAAAGTAAAGGTCCATTGATATCAGTGTGAATTAAGTCCAAAATTTCATTGCTCCTAGTCGAACCCTTCCTCGTAGACTTAGTTAACTTTCCTCTTATACAATCTATACAGGTGTCAAAATCGGGGAAGTCTAAGGAAGGAAGTATCTCATCTTTTACTAATCTTTCCATTCTATCCTTAGAAATATGACCCAATCGCTTATGCCACAACATAGAGGATGATTCACGAATTAAAGCCCTTTTCTTTGATACATTTGTAACACACGAGACATCACCAAAAGAAACCAAAGATAATTTATATAAACCATCACATAAAATGTCATTTCCAATCAAACGAGAATCTTTAAATAACTTAACCATTCCATTACCAAAATTAAATGTAAAACCACAAGTATTAAGTTTTGGTATAGAAATTAAATTTCGTCTCATCTGCGGTACATAAACTGTATTTTCCAAAACAAGATAAAACTCAAACTCTAAAGTTAACTTCACTACTCCTATGAATTCAACCTTCACTTGAAATCCATTTGCAACGCTCAAACTTACTTCATTCTCACTTGGCCTCTGTTTGCTTATAAACCCCTGCAAGGAATTCGCAATATGAATACTAGCTCCCGAGTCTAACCACCAAGAATTCAAAGGTACATCTACTAAAGAAGACTCAAAACAAACTAAGGCCAAGGGAATACTTGAAGAACTCTTCTTCTTTTCCAACCAAGTCTTGAACTTAAAACAGTCTTTCTGCAAGTGATCCTTCTTTTTACAGAACTTGCATTGATCATTTTTCTTTATAACTGCTTTGGGACCACTAAAATTATTATTCTGCTGACTTCGATGGGACTTATTACTCTTACGAAACTTAGATTTATGATTATGAGAAGGCCCCTTATTCTGTGATGGCTGAAAAGCTAAATGCACAGTTTCAACAGTTTCACGGCGCATCCTATACTCTTCTTAGGCACACACTGATATGAGGTCATTCAAATTCCACTTATCCCGCTGAGCATTGTAAGCAACCTTAAGCTGATTAAACTTGCTAGGAAGGCTATTCAAAACATGATAGACCAGGAAAGGCTCCGCAATGGGAATGTCAAGAGCCTTTAGCTTAGATGATATATTTATCATTTTCATGACATGCTCCCTAACACCATTTGTGCCATCATATCTCATGCTCATCAATTTATCCATCAGATCCCCAGTTTCGGCTTTATCGACTCAACAAATTTTTCTCCTATGGCATCCATAAAACTTTTGGCATTTTCATTATCAGGGATGACACCTAGGATGAAATCAGATATCGATCGCTTAATGATTTTCAAACAGAGTTTGTTAGCCCTTTCCCACTTTTCATGCTCGGTTACATATTCAACGGTACTCTTATCTGTGGGTTTTTCAAGTCTTTTCTCCATTGCAAAATTCAAGCCCAAAAAATCAAGTGCTATTTCTACATCTCGTTTTCATCTCACATAGTTATTCCCAGTCAAAGTTTCAATAGCAGTCAATTGTTTTGAAAGAGATGAGGCATTATAAACTGTGGAAACATAAAATATCACTTTTAATATCATCCAAACTTAATTCATGCAATCAAATGGATGATGAAATATCCAACTAATTAATATGGGCTATTAATTAGATAATCTGTAATTTAAAACGAAACATATAAATTTTATTACGGTAAGAGCCTAGATGCATCATCATAAAGTCACATTTGGGTCGACAATACAACATGCTATAAGGTACTTTTAAAACACATCATATAGTTAGTTAACAAAATTACACTGGTTTTCGAAATACCAACACCTTTGGACAGAAGGAAATTTCTAAACCAAAATAAGCTCATTAACTTTCTCATGCCATTTTCCAAAAATATTACATACATACATACAACACAATACGTATACAGATTACCAGTATAATTATGTGCTCAAATTTGCAGATTTACATATGAAATTAATCAAGCAAATCAAGATGAAAACATAGGAATATTTCCCACTCTTTCACGCACTAACAGTAAGCAACACATAATACGAATTTGAGATATGTGTGCAAAGGTGATTTAGATTTTCAGATTGGGTTCTTTTCCAGATTTGGGGAAGGCGACGTTTTGCATATTGGGCTTTTGGAATGTTGGTGTGGATCGGGAATGAAACTGCGGCATACGAGACAAAATTTCTACACCATGTAATCACTTAATGCACAAATTAAGCAAAACAGAGTTTATTATAAACAGAATAATAGTGATACGTGATTTCTTTTACAATTCAGAATTTAAATGGAATTTCTCGACCCTCGATTTTATTTTTATTATTTTATGAATGAATCTGATCTTAGTATGTAGGCTCTGATACCAATTGTTGAATCAAGAATCACAGAATAATAAATTGATAAATCGAATTTATATATGCGGAAGCCATTGTTGATATGAATAATTGTTGTAATAGCAGCCAAAATCTTCCCCTCCTTGCTCCTCACAAAGTAATAGCTATCAATGGGACAAGCCAATAAAACATATGGAGAGGAGAGGGGACCTAGCCTTTATATATATAGGAAATAATTGAGCCGTCCCATTACGACTAGAATTCTAATTAGGGTTTATTTTCGGCCCACATACTTTAAACTACCACATCAAATTAATTACAACCCGTAAGGTATAAAAGGTCCAATTAATCACTTAATAAATTTGGCCCAAACACATATTATTATGAGCCATATATCTAATCCGTAAAATTTTGTAATCGAATGTGAAGCCCACATATGAAATTATTAATTATTCCAATAGTTCCATGTGAAAAATTGAACTTATGTGACCCTGTTTGAGAAGAATTATTCTTATTGTTAATGGGAGATACTAGACGTAGGTCCTATTCATCCCGAAACCCCCTCCAATAGGGGGGCTCCTGTCAATTGGCGCCTTGTTTCGATAGGGTCATATCCATTGCTAATAGGTCTGCGTGTGTCACTTTTTGCTGTCCTTTATCTTGCTATTTGGATGAATCTACACAAGCATGGCCTTGTAATATGCCAACATAGCCGTTGATCTGAAATTTATCATTTCTAATTAGAAAAAAAGGATTGAGGTGCTGAACACTTCATCCTGTCACAGTGACAGGCCCTTGTTGGAACAGCAAAATTCTGCTATTTATGCTCATAATTGGCCCCCTGTCTGGACAGGGCCATATCCATCGTTAATAGGTCCACGTGAGCCACTTACTGCTGTCCTCTGTCTTGCTATTTATACTCCATAATATATTAATAAAATCATCATTTACTTTCTAATATTAGAATTGATTAGATTTAACTGCAACTCTTTCTAGTCCCCACTCCCACTGGCCCCAAATTTCAACCCCTTCTTCCTCATTTCTTGATGCTTCTACCTGTTATTTGACAGAAGTACAGAAATCTTGATCACAAAAATTTCAAATAAAATGAAGATCCAATGTGACGTGTGTAGCAAAGATGAGGCATCGGTGTTCTGCGTGGCTGATGACGCCGCCCTCTGTGCCGCCTGTGACCATCGTGTCCACCATGCCAACAAACTCGCCAGAAAATTCAAAAGCACAACAGATTTCTTCTCACTGGAGTCAAGCTTTCTGCTACCACTGCCCTTTATTCATCATTAGATTCTACTTTAACAAATGTTTCTGAAACTGTTCCACTTATCAAGTGTAAAAAAACCTTAACAGATGAGCCTGTGCCTGTCATTTCAAAGCCAACAAGTACAATACCAAGCACCACCTCGGAACCGGTCAAGCCGGTGATCGCTGATAGAGGGGGAGGTAGTGTTCAATTGATGAATGCAGGTGGGAATAATGGTTCAAGTTCAACAAGTAGCATATCGGAATATCTCATGGAAATTCTACCTGGATATCATGTTGATGATTTTCTTGATTCTCCTTGTGGTTTCTTCAAGGTGAGCAATGACTATTTCATCTTTTTTAAATTTTGAGAAGAGAGAGATCATAAGTATTCTAATATCGAGTCGAGCCACTGCCCATTTATGTAAATTGTGCACAAGCCGGTCTTGAGACAAAAATAAAAAATAAAAATGCTGATAAATAATTTTATACCCCGCTTTCACCATAATCTTTTAGGCTAGGTAATTCATTGCATCTACATATTTCTAACAAATCGGAATGTTTTTCACTGATTTGAGTTCATTTGAATTGTACAGAGTGGAGACAGTGATGCTCTACCTTTGTGGGATTCTGATCTTGCCAATAATCTGAGCTTTATTTCCCAAGAAAGTATAGGTTTTTGGGTCCCCCAATCCCCTCCTTTATATCCTCCTCTCGAGATGGTCTATGCCACCCCAAATGGATTCAAAGATTCCAAGGAAATTTCCAGCAACAAATCTAGCAGAAAATGGAGTGACGACAATATGTATGCAGTTCCACAGATCAGCCCACCTTCAACTGCCTTCAAGAGATCCAAGACTTCATGGTAGTGGCTTGAAAATCTCGTCTTTTTAGACTTGTCGTTCATGTCTAGTACGCAGTACAGGACTGTAATCAATAGTACAATGAACAAATTTTAATCTTTCACTGCATTCAAGTGATCCTGCAGGGTAGTGGCGCAAAAATCTCACCTTTTTAGACACTTTGTGCACGTTCTGTATGCATATAGGACAGTACTGGATAGTATAATGCACACCCTTCCGTAAGTAGGCTCGTCCATGTTTCCGATTTCTCTTAGTTTCTTGAATTAGCTTCTTTTAAGTTTTTTGTATAAATATTCTGTTTGATGTAGTTTGACCTTTTCTTCTCCAGAATTTCAGAGGAGTCTGATTTTCGTTAGAGAATGTTTGGCCCAACTTAAAAGTCAATAAAACGGTCTTTTTTGGGCAATAAAACTCTTCATGCTGTTGAAAAAGCTCAAAGAAGCAGTTATTTATTTATTTTTTATTTTTTTTTTTTGGTGGCTAAAGCCAAGCAAAAAAATGGCAGTTCCTTTACGCTGAATTTGTCAATTCAAATGAATAAAATCTCTCCACTGCTCTTTCACTGAATATACGAGTCTCGTACTGAAAAGCACAGCACAGGTCACATTTTTCTTGTATAGTACATTCAAGAAATTTTTTTTGTCATGTAAAACAAATTGACAGAAAGGTACAACTCCTCAGAAATTCCCCTTTTGGTCTTGGAGAAAACAGTACGCGAAACTCAGAACGTGACATTGCAGAAAGGTTATTGAAGATGTTTCATGGGATATTTTCACGTCCAGCCCAAAAATTCCCCTTGTGGGGACAAAAACTTTGATTTCAGTTTCAACTTTAAGACTCCCTTTCAATTTCAATTCTTTTCCCTAACTTAACCACTTTAATCCTTTTTAGTCAGTTGATCGCTACATTGAACGAAAATTCCAACTAACAAGATCCTTAACCATCACGAAGGATAATGTTAGTTTTTGTTAATTCGCCCTTGTCAAGGTGTAATAAGTCCGACAAAAATTAATTATCGAGAAAGACCAATATAAAGAGACAAGCATAGACTAAACTTGGAAAATAGCCTGGATTATGGGACAAAAATGGTACGAGGAAAGACCTATATAAAGAGATACAAAGTAAATGTTCGCATAAGCACATTATATGCACGCGATTATATTTGAATTTTCCCACTAACTTGAGTTTCAGGGGGGATTGTCACCTTAGACGTGTATTCTTTTGCGGCGGTTAAGTCTTAGAATCAGCGACATGAAAATTCTCTCACATTTAGATTGTTGGTAAGTTTTGACATCAACAAATCTGTTCTATGGACGTTTTTATACAAGCTCGAATGATATCGAGACTTCAGGGTTCTTTGGCTTGATGTAAAGTTTGATGAAGCATGAATGGATAAAGATAAAGAAAATGGTGAATCAAGTTGAAGTTGCTGAAAATGCTTATCAATCAATCAATCAACCATCCTTAGAAACAACAAAAGGAACAAATTATTGTACAATCCTTTCCTGGCAAAATGATTGGAGAACAAGACAAAATGCAATGAATTTTTTGCGGGCTGGGGGATTGGTGGGTCAACTTGACAGATTATACTTCATGGAACAACAGCCCCTTAATTATCTAGTATATACAGATTAAACCCCTAACCCGGAAAATAAATGTTCGAAAATTGTCCTGTTAACATGGCAAGGGAGCAAAACAAGAAGTCATTGGACTGAATTTATTTAGACGATGGGGACCATCATCAACTTGCAACTCCATGCATAGGGTGCCGGGTTAAGTCTCTATCTTCATAAATATGTGATGAAATTGCCTGCCAAGAAATACTATATATATATATATAATTAAAGGGTACCGGTATCAATTAATTTATCAATCATCATATTTACGGTTACACTCTTTATCTATACGTTTTAGTTCTTATAAAGTTAAACGTATCAATTAACAATGAAAAAGATGGCGAAAAATATCCCGAACACAATCACAACCTAGTTATCACGTGCGGAAAAATCAAATGGATCCCTAAAGTCCACAATTAACATCAACATCAATGCATTGTGATATTTCATTAAGGACATAATAGAGGTCACAATAAGAATATTCAAGTTTGTACCAAAAATTGCGACCTTCGAACTCCTTAGAGTACTTGCTTTGAAGTCGTAGACCGACATTTCATTAGTGTTTTTAATTGCTCGGATATTTAATTTGTCCAAACATGTAATCTTAATCTCTCGCTTTTGTTGTTATATTCGAGTATTGCAACTTATTACTACATCACATTTGGATTTGGTATATGATATGTAATTTAAGAATTTGATAAGAATTAAGACCTTCATGCCCCTTTAACATGCAATATAGACTTGCTTTGATATTTGACGTCCGTACTATAGTGCTCTTACCGTGGCCTATTGTGTCCTTAAATTTGATACTTAGGTCATAGGTAATCATTGTTGATCTACGATTGACTGAAAATGAGGTGCTAATGTCACTATTGCGATCTGTTGACCTTTGAACGGCTATCTAAATGGTGAGGATGTCATCTAGGGAATAAGTGTTTCAAACTATAATGACCATGTCTCTAAATGATGGTGGTATAATTCAAACTGAATTAGTGGTATTTCTCGACCTGACGGTCTACCTTCTGGGTCAAAGTTGATTCGAGCTGACCTGCGAATTTGGACACCAACAACTTGTTACATTAATATTCTGTGCAAAAATTGAAAAATTCCTTGTCAATGAACTATTACGGCAATTGTTAAAAATGAAATAGCAAACTCATGTGTTTGTTTGTAACTGGAAGTTGGACATAGTGATACATATTATAAATATCACGTTTGTTGTACTTTCCATATATGCCTTATATGTAGTTGAAGAGAGAAAATTAAGTGATTTTTTTCCCCCAAAATAACCCTACTTTTTAAGTGTGAGCCTAATTTTTTAATTTGTTAGGATTCCTGAATGGTCACAGTAAAATACCGTACATATCATTTTTTAAGGTTAAACCCCAACTTTGATGGCCCCTATCGTCCCGTCCCTAGAACTTTGTGAGGAAAGTAAATAGGGAGATGTGCCCCAACAGGCCAAAAAATAAAAGCTGCTTGTATACTGCGTCTACAAAGAATCCAATTCCATATCTCAGGAATCGAAACTCCACACTGCGGCTGCTTGTAAGGCGTGTCCTTTACACCACTGGACTATGCCTCGGAAGGTATTATAAGAGTATATAATCGGGCAGTCTGAGATAACATTTTTTTACTATGCTAATTGCAGTCAACGTGCATTGCACATGATTTTGAGATCCTTTTTTTTTTTCGCTTGTATAAATACTATTTTAAGATGTTGGATCAATACTAATTTGCGATTATATTACTTGGGATAAATTAATTAAGCTGCTTTTCCAGACACGGACCGCTCAATATCCGCCCAAATTAAAGGACACTCGAACGCCTTTATTTACAGGAAAATGGTAGGTTGCTTTTTTCAGCCTTTAGACACTCCGAAACACCTAGGAGTGTGGAATACATTATATACACCACGAAAATTTGAGTCTCCGGTGCGTTGAGAAAATATCTAACGAAGAGAAGATCTTCTCGAAGAAGAAATAGTTGTTTGCAAAAAATCTCTATTTTTACTCTTTAAAGAGTAAATTTTTATGAACTCTAACAATGCTCTCTATTTTCATTTTTTTTTCAATGAGTATTTACTGATTTCTACTCGTCTCTTATTTAGCATAATTTTTTTTATATGTTAATGGCCAATCAAATATGATTTGAATAATTTAAATTGTAGAGCATTGAAATTTGTAACTTATTAAATACAATCATTATAAATTAAGAATAGAGAGAGTTTGACTCTCTAAATTTGGAAAGTTAAACCTATTCCTTATTCTATAAAATTAGAATAGAAAGTTTCTTGAAACTTATTTTTCAGTATTAACTCTCTAAATAGAGAGTATTTTGTATTTCAAGAGTCATTTGAAGATGTTCCTAAATGTACTCTTTTTTTTTTTTTTTTTAAATTCATTTGATCTAGCACTAACTCGGACCCATTACGAACATTTCCATGCATTCTTCCGGATTAATTATAAGAATTGATTCAAAAGGCCCCTCTTTAGCCGAATCAAATTGAAGTTGAGCATGCCTACTGGTGAAAGACCTGATACAGACACGACATTTTTCTTAATTTCTTTTTTTTGTTTCCATTTGAAGTTCTTTCCACAGTAGTTATAATATACTTTCGTAATCTACGACTCATTCTCAACTGTCCTCTTTTTCGTAAAGTATTTTCAACATTCAGAAGTAGACTCACAAGTTTTATTCTTTTCTCTCTTTTTAATTCCAACTAGTCATCAGACTCAATGGTTATTAAATCCTAATGCCGATATTATCTGTATTTCAAAGATTGCAAGCTTGAGAAAAATTGTAGATACGAGTATTGTAACTACCTAAATATTGGTTAACAATTTCATCGGGATTCATGAATTCGGTATAATTCATAATAATTATTTTTAAAAAAATTAATAAAAATAATTGGTACAAAAAAATTAATATTAAAGAAATATTTGGAAATAAAGAAGCAATTGTATAATTATTGCAAAATTACACTGCTAAAGAGATGGGAGCCTGTAGAAAATGCTGATATGTAATGAAATTGATTTACCACCAATCCCTGTTTAATGTCATGCCGCATGTCCCTTTTACATGATTATTGTTTGAAACTGTAATGGTTTCTGTAGTGTTGTATGTAATGTTTAACTAACTAATTTATTGTTATCGTGACTAATTGCATTTTGTTATTTAGAAGGTTCCAGACGATCGACGAGATTAACAGAATTAATTCTAATATGCCTATATTAACCAATTAAAATGAGGAAAGATGTAAATATCATTTTATTGTAGGCTTATGATTTTTATGACTTGTCGTTTTATCATAAACTTATTATAAATATTCATTTTTCTTTTATATTATGTTAATTTTATTCAATTTAACTGATTAATAATAATAAATGAATTGGGCCTTTGACTAGCAATGGAACCAATGTAGTGGTGTTTTGATAATCTAAATTTCAATGTGGTTGATGTACAATATGTACATCTAAATTGGTACCCAAAAATTGAACATAAGAAATTTTTCTATTTGAACACTTTTCTTCATGAAATAAGAATTGCCTATGTTAAAAATGGTTACTCCTCAACCGAAATATTTTGGTTACATTGTTGCTGCATCTTCTAATTAATTGCACTTACATGTTTTGAGATATTATTTTATGCTTAAGAAAGAATTTATTATTATTATTTTATTTTATTTTTTTTATTTTACCCCACAAGTAGCAA